CGCACCGGATGTCTCTGCGTCCGTCCACTGCTCCTCTGCGTGCCCCTTTACCTTCTCCTCCTGAGTCTTCTCTTCCTACTCTTGCCGACCCGGAGTCGGACTCTCTTCGCGCTGCCAGTCCTACTGTCACGCGTCTCCTTGCTACGGTTGTCACTGACCCTTCCTTTGAGTCCACTGCTGCATCTGCTCTAGTTGCTGAGCTCGTCGACTTTGCTGCTCGCTGTCGCCTAGACTACGTCGCCAGTCTTGTTGCTGAGTCTGAGTCTGTCTGTCCTCCGTCCGTCGGGGGTGAGTGTGCCCTTGGCACGGACGTCCTTGAGGACAGGCAGGAGGAGTTCCAGTGCTTGGCCGCTGCTTCACCTCATCTCGTGTCCGTACTGCTTACCCCTGAGGGAGACCCGGATGCACTTGACATCCCGACTCCGCGCTCTTACGCGGAGGCGATAGAGGGTCCCTACTCCTCTCAGTGGCAGGCAGCTATGGACGCAGAGATGGCTTCCTGGAAGTCCACAGGCACCTACGTTGACGCTGTTCCCCCTCCTGGGGCGAACATCGTCAGTGGCATGTGGATTTTCAGGGTGAAGCGACCGCCGGGTTCTCCGCCTGTCTTCAAGGCGCGTTACGTGGCTCGTGGCTTCAGTCAGCGGCAGGGAGTTGACTACTTTCAGACCTTCTCTCCCACCCCGAAGATGACCACTCTTCGGGTACTGCTGCACGTAGCTGCTCACCGTGACTACGAGCTACACTCTCTTGACTTCAGCACTGCTTTCTTGCAGGGCAGCCTGCACGAGGAGATCTGGCTGCGTCGCCCACCTGGCTTCACTGGGTCTTTTCCTCCTGGCACCCAGTGGAGCCTACGGCGGCCAGTCTACGGTCTCCGCCAGGCACCGCGTGAGTGGCACGACACACTGAGGACTACACTTGCAGCTCTTGGGTTTGCTCCCTCTACTGCCGACCCGTCGCTGTTTCTGCGCACCGACACTTCTTTGCCGCCGTTCTACATCCTCGTGTACGTCGACGACTTGGTCTTTGCCACAGCTGACACTGCTGGACTAGCCCACGTGAAGTCCGAGCTGCAGAAGAGACACACGTGCACTGACCTGGGTGAACTGCGCAGCTACCTTGGCTTGCAGATCACTCGGGACAGAGCACGCCGCACCATTACCCTGACTCAGTCACACATGGTGCAGCAGGTCCTTCAGCGCTTCGGCTTCACGTACTCCTCGCCTCAGGCCACTCCTCTGCCTACTCGCCACTCGCTCTCAGCTCTGCCTTCGGATGAGTCCGTAGAGTCGAGTGGCCCGTACCCAGAGCTTGTTGGCTGCCTCATGTACCTGATGACCTGCACACGACCTGACCTTGCATACCCTCTTAGCATTCTTGCACGCTATGTTGCTCCTGGGAGACACAGACCGGAGCACATGGCTGCAGCGAAGAGGGTGTTGCGCTACTTGTGCAGTACGTCGGGCATGGGGCTTGTGCTTGGAGGGCAGAGTCCAGTGGTCCTTACTGGGCACGCAGACGCTTCTTGGGCTGACGACCAGGCTACGCAGCGGTCGTCACAGGGTTACACCTTCAGCCTTGGTTCCGGCTCTGTTTCGTGGCGGGCTACTCGCTCGTCTTCTGTTCTCGGCTCCAGTTGTGAGGCTGAGATCTACGCAGGAGCCATGGCTGCACAGGAGCTTCGCTGGCTCACCTACCTGCTGACTGACCTCGGAGAGTTGCCTCGTTCTCCTCCGGTGCTGTACGTAGACAACAAGGCCATGCTGGCCTTGTGTCGGGAGCAGCGACTGGAGCACAGAACGAAGCACATTGCTCTCCGCTACTTTCTTGCTCGTGAGCTGCAGCAGCGTGGTCAGTTGCGTCTTGCGTACGTGGCCTCTGAGGCCAACACTGCTGATATCTTCACCAAGGCACTTGCGCCTTGTGACCATCAGCGCTTCTGTACTCAGCTTGGCCTTGTGCCTACCTTGCCTCACTTGCTCACCTCTTGACCTTGCTTGTACTGTTACATATATATATACCTGCTCTTGTTTGTCTAGCCTTTTTATATATATGTGTACTCCTGCTTGTGAACTGGCCTTGTGGCCTTGAACTTGTGCTCGGAATGTGTGGTGACTTTGTGATCCACCCTGAGCTTGTTTTTGCTTTGCTTTGCTTGACTGGTCTTGTGACCCCTTGTTCTCCCCCACTTTGCCTATGGGGGTGTGTCAGATTTATATGACATAGCTACTGTAGGCTATAGTGGGGTAGCACATATGGGGTACAGTTTTCTAGGGTTTGCTTCTTGTACCCAACTTTCACTTAGTCATTTCATTCCTCGTTTCTTCTCACTGATGTCCTTCCTCAAGTCCCTAGTCCTCCCGTAGCTCCTATGTCCTCATCTCTTTCTCAGGTGAGACTACTAAAGACTAGAATAATCCGTTCGTTCTAAAGTTAAGAGCGAGCCTTCTTTAGATATAGACGTTAGTATGTCGTGATTGGTCGTTTTTCATTGTTGCAACGTAGTTTCACCTACGTTTAATGTACATTATGTAGACTTCTGAACATGTTCATTTTCCTTTTGAAGTCTCTTGCACGGCCATCTTTCCTTCGTCCGTCCGCCTCACCTCCCTTTCTTTCTCTCACTCCGATTTCGTTCGAGCTTTCCTCGTTTTTTTTTCTGAAATTTTCTTTCCCATCTTCTTCCTTCAACCGTACTTCTTTAACGGTCTCGTTCCTAACTTGATCTTTCTTTTCTCGTTCGTTTGTTCGTTCTTTTCTCTCTCTCGTTTCCTCGCGCTAGTGAAGCCTACTTCGTGTAATATGCTCCCGCCACCCACACTCCACCTACCTCTCAAAGGTGAGAAACCCTCTTAAAGCAAGGACTATGTTAGGTGACGGTAAGTTAGACTAATCTTTTCTTAATGTCGTATCCTACTAGTTTCTATATATGTTGGCCGCTTTTAAAGACTGAAATTTAATGAAGTGTAGGTTGTAGGCCTTTTGTAGGTCGTTCATATGCCTCTATCTTTCAGCTTATCTCGTCGCGTGCTAGTCTTTAGGTCGTTCATATGCCTCTATATGTTTTTCATTCCGAATCCCGCTCTACGTTTCCTTCGTTTTCCCTATTATAGGCTCTCTTGTTGTTGCTTTTCTTTTATGTTTTCCTCTGTTTCTGTTTTGTTTCTATGGTTGTTCCATTCTCTCTCTCTCTCTCTCTCTCTCTCTCTCTCTCTCTCTCTCTCTCTCTCTCTCTCTCTCTCTCTCTCTCTCTCTCTCTCTCTCTCTCTCTCTCGCTCTCTCGCTCTCTCGCTATCGCTGTCGCTCTCGCTCTCTCCTTCCTTCCATCCGTCCTTCCTTCCTTCCCTCCGTTCTACTTTCTATACTTACTTCCCTCCTTCCTTCGTTATGTTTGTCAGAATGTTATAATTGTCTAGCCTGCAGTGGGGTACTCTATAGCGAGTACAACCCAATTAGGGTTCCCTATATGTATGCCAACTGCTGCTAGTGCAACCCCCTCTTCTTCCATTCCTCGTTTCTTCACAATGTTTACTGCTTCGGTTTGCTGCTTCCGTTTTCTGCTTCCGTTTTATGCTTCCGTTTTATGCTTCCGTTTTATGTTTTTTTTTATGTGATCTGTTTTTTGTTATGTTTACCCTACCTTGCATTCGTTTTCCCTTTTCATCATTCGTAATTTTGTATCCTCCTGGTTATTCATTTTTACCACTTATCTATGATATCATTTTCTCTATTATATTTTTTTTTGTTCTCAGGAGTCTTGTTGATCAGGAAAACCAGTTCAATCTGGAGAATTTGTGGTTGTCATTTATATGATTTACCATATTGCCATTTTTATTTTTTTTTGCATCTTTTGTGTATTATCGTGGGTTTCCGGCTTGGATTTTTGTTGTGCATGCGTTTGGTTATTGTGAATGCGTTTGCTTATATGAGTGTGCATTCATCCATCATTGCAATAACAATGCATGTCCGTGGGTTTTAAAAAGGTGAATCAGGTCTATCATTTCATTAGAAGGTTCATTGGCGCGCCTGTCGGGAGCCCACTTGAACTGGAGATGATAGAGTTGACCATATTTTTAGAGTTCACGGATTGCGTTGTTTCATGTGACTGCTGATTGTTCAAATACTATGCTATTAGCTCCCCCCTATGCTAGGCAGGGGATGCAGTAGCATAGTTTTTGGGTCGTTAGCTTTCACGCATTTACATCATCATAAATATACATCATGGATTGTCATTGATATTCATTACTTATATCGAATTTGAGGCATATATTTATCATATCATATGTAAGGAATTTTCCTGAATTCCTTATCGGGGTCGACTGCTACGCGTACAGCCCGATTTTCGGACTTTGCACGTTCGGCCGATTTCAACGCTGCCGAGGCTCCCCGCGTCGCCTTCGGCATTTCCCATCGCCAAACCTGCACCCCAACTTCGCTCGTCCGAGGTTTCCTCCTAGCTAGGCTAGCTCCTATGTTAGTGCGTTCCTTCATTGTATTCTCAGATGATTCAATCACAGTCTCGTTATTCGTTTACCTGCGCACTCTCTTTTACAACTCATAACACCTGGTATCAGAGCTACTTTCCTAGTTCACCCCGCTTTTCCGAGGGTAGTTTGGTGGCATAGGGTGTGGCTGGTTTAGTGACTACACGACGGTTGGCTGCAGGGATTGTTAATTCAATCCTGCCCGACTCCGATAGTTCGTGTTTTCACTTGCCTGATGGCCACGGAGACCCGCCCACCAGACGTAGCGCTAGGCACATGGATCAGGAGGCGGTTAAAACCGAAATATAAAATAGTGAAGGCCGTCCCAGCTTGAAATCGCTGCGATGAGTTGGGTTGACACAACACTGTTCCAAACAAACCGAGTAGGCAGGTTGAACTCATCTGATTGGCTCAAACAAATCTGAAAATTACTCCTCCCGCCAAAACGATTTTCCAGGCCCATGTCAATCGTCGCATTTTTACACGCTGCACCCACACGACCGTTGCCCAGCGATGGTTTCCATCGCCAAGCCCAACTTCCAATTCAAGCTGGGACTGGGTGAATGACTAGCTGCTTTCGAGTCCCAGAGTCACTAGTGCTTGGCGTAGCATTAGTAGTAAAGTCGAGAAAGCGTAGATGTTTCTGGCCTAGGCACGTAAGATCCGACTTCGCTCGCGTGCGTAATGTAGTGAACGTGACTCTGTATAGTCAATATTTTTCTCGTCTCTCGCAAGTGAAACCCGACCCTTCACCTCGTAGCCCTCGCGTTCTCAGTAAATCGGGCTCCCGTCGCTCTACATCTCTTCTTCTCACAGTAACCATCGCGTTGCTCTCGCGCTCATATTGAATCGCCTTTCTGTCGCCCTTCCTCCCCCTCTTATCATCCACTTCATCGCCGTCACGCGCGCCTCAAATCGCCCACCCTCGCCCCTACCGTCGCCATCACCCTCGCGATCTCCTCTCACATCCCGTCGCCATTCCTCTCCCACAGCCCTTCCTCTCTTGTTGCCCTTCCTCACTCCTGTCGCCAGTTCGCTATCCCGTCGCCCTTCCTCTCTCTCGCCGCCCTTCCAGTCTCCCGTCGCCCTTCCTCCCCTGTCGCCCTTCTTCTCTCTCCTCCCGCCACCCTCGCGTCTCATCGCGATCACGTTCCCACCGCACTCCCGTCACCATCCGTCCCGCCTTTCGTAAATTATTACCACCCCTCGCGTCGTTCCTCTTCTCTTCCCTCCCCTCCCGTCGATCCCTCTTCAGGTCCTCGATCCCGTGGCCTCGCTCTCTCCCATCCCTTTCCGCCGCCCTCACTCTCTCCCCTCCCTTTCCGTCGCCCTCATTCTCTCCCCTCCCTTTCCATCGCCCTCGTTCTCTTCCCTCCCTTTCCGCCGCCCTCGCTCTCTCTCATCCCTTTCCGTCGCCCTCGTTCTCTCCCCTCCCTTTCCGCCGCCCTCGCTCTCTCTCATCCCTTTCCGTCGCCCTCGTTCTCTCCCCTCCCTTTCCGCCGCCCTCGCTCTCTCTCATCCCTTTCCGTCGGCCTCATTCTCTCCCCTCCCTTTCCGTCGCCCTCGTTCTCTCCCCTCCCTTTCCGCCGCCCTCGCTCTCTCTCATCCCTTTCCGTCGCCCTCGTTCTCTCCCCTCCCTTTCCGCCGACCTCGTTCTCTCTCATCCCTTTCCGTCGCCCTCATTCTCTCCCCTCCCTTTCCGTCGCCCTCGTTCTCTCCCCTCTCTTTCCGTTGCCCTTGCTCTCTCTCCCTCCCTTGCCGCCGCCCTCGCTCTCTCCCCTCCCTTTCCGCCGCCCTTGCTCTCTCTCATCCCTTTCCGTCGCCCTCGTTCTCTCCCCTCCCTTTCCGTCGCCCTCGCTCTCTCCCCTCCTTTCCGTCGCCCTCATTCTCTCCCCTCCCTTTCGTACTTGCTATCTCCCCTAGCATTCCGCGGATTTTTCTCACGCATCTCTCCTCTCGCGTCCTCGTTTCTATTGCTCTATTTGTCTCTTCTCGAGACACCTTGAACTTCTTTGTTATACACAGCGATGGTTTTCATATGTTGTTATTGCCGCCCTAGCAGGCCTATGTCTAAGGCCTTAGCTTTGCGTGAGTTGGGCTTGCTTTGCGTGGGTTGGACTTGCTTTGCACGAGTTGGACATGCTTCACGATGTGAATTTGGCACTGAATGTAATTGCGATTCGCACGTCGTTGCCTTTCAAGCGACTTATTTGCACATGCTTGCGATGATTTTTGTTTGAGAAGAAATTTGGAGACTCTACAGTATCATATGGGGCTGGAAAAAAAAAAATACACAACAGTACTTCAACTTTCAAGTGGACCCAACTAGAACGGGGGGGTCACTATTTTAGCTGCTGGCTTTAACAGGATGATGGCGCAAGTGGCAGAAATGCAGGAGAGCATGAAGACATTAATGGCGGAAGTGACAACACTGCGAGAGGAAAACGCCGAGCTACGCCAGACGCGAGGTGAAGCGCATCAGGAGTCGCCTGTGGACGAAGGCGAGGGCAACAGTCAAGCGATGAGCAATCCGCTGGATGCGCTCACACGTGACTTCGAAGAGGAGGACAGGCAGCGAGCGGCAGCAGCGCCAGTTGCAGTAACGACGATCAAGATCAAGCCCATTAACCCGCCCCCGTTTAATCCTACGGACAAGACGGTTACAGTAAAAGGGCGGCTGTTCGGGGTCGAGGTCTTCTTCACTGCAGCAGGAGTTAACGACGATGCCACGCGTATTAATTACGCGGTTTCGCTTCTTCGAGGTGCAGCGCTTGAGTGGTGGCGCCGAACCTTGGAAACAGGGACGCCGACAGGTGTGACGCATGCGGCAGACAGGACCTCAACAGTGACTAATCAAGTGGCACAATCGATCTTCGGAGTGACCACGATACGCACGTGGAAGGAGTGGGGCGCAGCCTTACAAGATCGCTTCGAGCACGTATCCGCCTCGGAGCAAGCTCGCATGAAGCTGCGTGCATGGTCGCAGATGGCTTCTGTCCAAGACTACACGGTGTCATTTATGGGCCTCGCCGACCAAGTTGATGATATGTCGGAAGTTGAGCGGTTAGATAAATACATCAGCGGCCTCAAATACGAGATACAGTACGAGGTTCGCAGGGGCCGCCCGACATCATTCCTTGAAGCAGTACGGCTGGCGGAGTCTACAGATGCGCTGATGCAGTACGCGAGAGCAGCTTCCCGGGAGGGAAACCGCTTTCGTGGCCAGTCCCATCGGGCCACGATCAACGCCGTCCATACACCCGACCGCCCTCCTAAGGGACCGTGTTACCGGTGTGGGAAGACGGGTCACTACATGAAAGACTGCCACGAGAAAACGCCGCTGACGGGGAACGACAGGAAGGAGCAGGGAAATGGGAAGAGTCAGTAATTAGCGGGCCCTTTACTGACTGTGCCCCGTCGCCCGAACCCCACCATCCCCACCGAGCCGTGGTTCCGATTCATGCAATCGATTGCACTCGGCCGAATAACGGGGATACACATGTGGATCACCCTGTGCTGGTCGCTGGCAAGGTGTTAAAAAATAACTTAAAAATGTTCGTCAATGGGGGGGCCAGCCATAGCCTCTTCAACTTGGCGAGCGCAAAAAAATGCAAGCTGCAACTTGACAGGTGTCTGCCCGAAATTGACGCCCGCCTCGTGGATGGGACGCCTCTGGCGATAACGGAAGAAACACGGACGGTCAGGATCGACTGCGGCGACGATTTCGGCTTCAGCATGAAGTTTCTCGCGACAACATTGGATGGCTGCGACGTGCTGCTGGGACGTGATTGGTTGCGACGGCACAACCCCGTCATCGACTGGACAACGGGATCGTGCAGCATCAACAAGCACGAGGGGCTAATTAAACTGCCTGCATGGACACCTGACTACATCCAAGCCCCGTGCGTCAAAGCTATCACTATAGCTCGCCACTTCAACAAGGGCGCGCAGCTGTTCGCTGTTTGCTTACGCGAGTTGGCGGTTGACACCGACGGAAAAGACATCGAGAAGCTGTGTGCAGCTGTACCACCGGATTTAGCGGAGCTGATTCGGAGGTACCCAGACATTTTCCCCGACGACCTGCCACCTAGACTGCCACCAGAGAGACCTGAGGACCACAAAATCCACCTGGAACCTGGCGCGCAGCCGACTGTTCGGACACAGTGGCGGTTGACCCAGCCGGAACTCGAGGAGCTGCGAAGTCAAATTGACGCACTGTTGGAGAAAGGGTTCATTCGGGCCAGCACATCTCCCTTCGCAGCACCAATCCTGTTCACTCCGAAGAAAGACGGCGGGCTTCGCATGTGCATCGACTATCGCGCGCTGAACCGGGTCACCATGAAGTCTCGTTTGTCAGAAACAACAAGTGTTGAACTAGAAAGATTTTGGAGTACAAGTAGGAAACCCTAGAGAAGTGTACCCCCTAAAGGCTAACCCACTGTAGCCTACACAACAGAAACATATATAATGTTTGACACACCCCCATAGGCTAAGTGGGGGAGAGCAAGGGGTCACAGGACCAGTCAAGAAGGACAAAGCAAGCTCAGGGTGGATCACAACGTCACCACACACTCTGAGCACAAGCAAAGGGCCACAAGGCCAGTTCACATGCAGAGGCATATATGTAGCACAAGCATCACAGTGATCTATATCTAGCAAGCATGCAGGTATATATATATATAGATCACAGTACATGCAAAGTCTACAACAAGTGAGGAAAAGTGGGCACAAGCCCTAACAAAGTGCAGAAACGCTGATGATCACCAGACTGAAGTGCCTTGGTGAATATATCAGCAGTGTTGGCGTGAGTGGCCACATAACGCAGACGAAGCTGACCACGCTGCTGCAACTCTCGAGCCAGGAAGTAACGTAGAGCGATGTGCTTCGTTCCGTGCTCTAGTCTGTGCTCCTCACACAAGGCAATGGCAGCCTTGTTGTCGACGTACCGCACTGGAGGAGAACGAGGCCGCTCTCCCAGGTCGGTCAGCAGGTAGGTGAGCCAGCGTAACTCCTGTGCAGCCATGGCTGTGGCGTAGATCTCAGCCTCACAACTGGAGCTGAGAACTGAAGACGAACGCGTAGAACGCCACGAAACTGAGCCAGAGCCAAGGCTGAAGGTGTAACCCTGTGACGACCGCTGAGTATCCTGGTCGTCAAACCAAGAAGCGTCTGAGTGCCCAGTGAGAACAACTGAGCTCCTCCCTCCAAGCACGAGCCCCATGCCCGATGTACTGCACAAGTAGCGCAATACCCTCTTTGCAGCATCCCAGTGCACCTTTCGGTGCCTACCAGGAGCCACGTAGCGAGCCAGAAGGCCAAGAGGGTATGCTAGGTCAGGACGAGTGCAAGTCATCAGGTACATGAGGCAGCCAACTTGCTCTGGGTAAGGACCACTCGGCTCTACGGACTCATCCGGGGGCAGAGCTGAGAGCGAGTGACCTGTAGCCAGAGGAGTCGCCTGTGCCGAGGACCAAGTGAAGCCGGAGCGCTGAAGGACCTGTTGCACCATGTGTGACTGAGTCAGTGTGATGGTGCGGCGTGCTCTGTCCCGGGTGATCTGCAAGCCAAGGTAACTGCACAGTTCACCCAGGTCTGTGCACATGTGTCTCTTCTGCACCTCCGACTTCACGTGGGCGAGAGCCTCAGTGTCAGCAGTGGCAAAGACCAAGTCGTCGACGTACACGAGGATGTAGAACGGCGGCAGCGAAGTGTCGGTGCGCAGAAACAGCGATGGGTCAGCAGTAGAAGGCGCGAACCCAAGAGCCGCAAGCGTAGTCCTCAGTGTGTCGTGCCACTCACGTGGCGCCTGGCGGAGACCGTAGACTGGCCGCCGGAGGCTCCACCGGGTACAAGGAGGAAACGACCCAGTGAAGCCAGGAGGGCGGCGCAGCCAGATCTCCTCGTGCAGGCTGCCCTGCAAGAAAGCTGTGCTGAAGTCAAGAGAGTGAAGCTCGTAGTCACGCTGAGCGGCAACGTGCAGTAGCACCCGAAGAGTGGTCATCTTCGGGGTGGGGGAGAAGGTCTGGAAGAAGTCTACTCCCTCTCGCTGACTGAAGCCTCGAGCAACGTAACGAGCCTTGAAGACAGGCGGAGAACCTGGCGGCCGCTTCACCCTGAAAATCCACATGCCACTGATGATGTTCGCCCCAGGAGGGGGAATCTCGTCAACGTAAGTGCCAGTAGACTTCCAGGATGCCATCTCTGCGTCCATGGCTGACTGCCACTGAGAGGAGTACTCACCCGCGATCGCCTCAGCGTAAGAGCGCGGGGTCGGGATGTCTGGTGCATCCGGGCCTCCCTCAGGTGCAATCAGCATGGACACGAGATGAGGTACGGCAGCGGCAAAGCACTCAAACTCCTCCTGCCTGTCCTCAAGGACGTCCGTGCCTAGAGCACACTCACCCCCGACGGACGGAGGACAGACAGACTCAGACTCAGCAACAAGACTCGCGGCGTAGTCTAGACGACAGCGAGCAGCAAAGTCGACAAGCTCAGCAACTAAGGCAGACGCAGCAGCAGACTCAAAGGAAGGGTCAGTGACAACTGTGGTGAGCAGACGCGTGACAGTAGGACTAGCAGCACGAAGAGAGTCAGACTCCGGGTCAGCAAGGGCAAGAAGAGAGGACGCAGGAGGAGACGGCAGAGGGACACGCTGTGGAGCAGTGGAAGGACGCAGAGTCATATAGTGTGTGCCAGGGACAGGTGGAGGACGCTTACGCGGAACACGGCGACCAGTGCGAGCAGCACGAACAGGTGACGCATGACAAGACTCAGGCTCACGACGCTCTGTAAGACCGCCTGTCGGACCAGTGTAGGGAGAAGGACCAGGAAGTGGCGAGGCAGGCGGTAGCTGGGACTGCGACTGGACAGGCGGAGGACACTCTAAGGAGGGAGGAGGACCAGGAGGAGGCGGCTGACCAAGA